TTTCGGCGTTTAGGTAAAAGTTCTTGGCGTGGTAGCTCTTATCGATGAAGGTGAAACCGACTGGAAGTTGATTTCCATCGATGTTACTGATCCTTTGGCTGACCAGATGAACAACATCGGAGATGTGGAAAAGCATTTCCCTGGACTGCTTAAAGTATGTTTGTTAACCTCTATTCCACTGTCATATAGCTTTAGAGAAGGCCATAGAATGGTCCTCGACCTTCGCCGTCGCCGTCAAGTAGGCCGCAATGCTGCAGGCTGCTCCATTGGTTTTATGATAAGGCTCAAAGCTTGCCCCTCTTTACTATTTTTAGAAGGAACTGCTTCTAAGACCTTGGAAGTTTTTCTGCTCCTTAAGACTGCAGAAATGGAGGCTATTGTTAATTTTCTTGAGATTAGGTTCATGTACCTATCCTTTTTTAGTAAAAATAACTTATAGTCTCAGTATGCGCAAAAATGTTTGTACTAGCTCTTGTCCTGTACTGTAAGAGATTTAGGCCACTGTTGAATGGTTCCGCATCTATAAAATTCCGGCTGGTAAACCAGCCAACCAATTTGGCTTTAATGGTGAATATAAGGATCGTGAATATGCCCACAATGTAATTGAAGCCACCCACGACTTTTGGAAAAACCTCATCAAGGAAGCATCTCCAAAGCTCAATACGTAAGCCATCCCTTGATCTCGCTTTATAATTGTGCTTAATTAGCAAACATTGTAATCATTCTCAATTCTAGAGAATGCTTCGTCGAAGGCGCTGCTCATCAAGCTACCCACCAGTCTGCTCAAGCTGTCTTAGATGCATCTGCAGCCCCGGCTGCTGCGTCCGAAATTCCATCCGAAGTTGACAAGTGGCACTATATTCAAGCCTGACTAGGCGTGGAGTCAAAAATCTAAGGGTGTGAACTAGGCTTAGTAGTGCTGTTCTTTCTTACCTTAGGTTTGATTTGTCCGGTGTCGATGGGCTATGCATGGGTTCCTCAAAAACATTTTCATTATGTTATGTCTGTTTAATAGAAATGTTGTTATCTTGTTAAATAAAGAGTTCGTTCTGGTTCTACGAACTAATTTCTTAAATTTTGTTTTCGCTATACGTTGGTATCACTCTTTCCTTTTTTACCCCTTTTTTTCTAACTAGGTTTGGTGAAGTGACTGACAAGACTATGAAAAGTGGTAATAGTCTGTATTTAGACCGAAGATTCGTGTTTGCTTTAAACATCCGAACTCAGATTCTAGATAATATTCAAGCATGCGAGTGTCTGTGAAATCATCGAAATCTGTTCGTTTGAATACTTGCGAAAACATATTTATACGAATGAGCGAATATTTACGCTGGAATGAAAATTCGAATAATTCGGTTATTTAAGTATTCAAATAGTCGAGTACTTGAGAAAACCTCACTATTTTTTTTCAAATATTCGAGTGATCGGTTATGTCCAATATGAATAGTTGAATACTTAGGATCCCCAATAATCAAATTATT